CACCCTCTAAAATGTTTTACTGTCCTGTGACAAGATTATATTAATCAAGAACCCAATAAACTAATAACTGTTTACTGCCTGGAGGGATTTGATCCGATGCTGGCAGGTTAATTGTTTATTTAACTCATTACTGACTTAAGAATCAATATCATAGCACATAGGACTTATCCATAGACCTCAAGTCTTATTCCAGAACTTGAGTTTTGCATGCAAATCTGTTCTGAATTTTCTGTGTGCAGACTGCTGGTTTCTAGTCTCTCAGGCGGATGCACTCCAGCTTCAAAGGAAACATATCTAATTAGTCTATTTTTATGACATGCTTGTTTGGGGGTTTTGGAAAGGGGGGGGGGGGGAGAGGCATGGGTCTAATCTCCCACCCCCTCTCGTTTTGGGGTCAGGGAATCCACATGGACAACTAGGTATTTTCAACAGTCTTTTGAAGGAAATAGTTTCAAACCTGCTGCAAGACTGGCCTGACAGTCATAGGGTTCAATCTGCATCAAGGTGATTTAAAAAAAAAAAAAAATAACTGACCTTGTCTCTCAGGTCAACCCAGCCTAAAACAGGTACCAGGGAAATATCTGGAGAAGTAACGGCAGCTGAGCACATTATACACTGAGTGTCAACTGGTAAGGACAGCCATTGGGCTGTAGCGGCTAGAGACTCACCTGTTGATCAGAAGGTTGAGGGTTCCCATGGACTTTAAAAACAAAAATAACCTTGGCTCCCAGGCCAACTCAGCCTTAGATGGGTACTAGGTAAAGTCCTGGGAAGTAAAGGGGAGTTGGCATGATGCTGATTACATCACCCACTGAGTGGAGATTTGTCTCCGATTGGTGCCCAATATTCCCGAAGATGTGGAAAAGGGTTCTTCTACTTTTTACAATTGGTGTGAAAGGGCTCTGTGCTTATTACTGCATGAGAGGACCACCAATCAAAGGGGATCTTCTGTGGTGAAGTGGTCACAGCGTCTGCCTCCCGCCCTGATCACTGGTCCGTTTCATGGCTTCATCATTCGGTTCATGTGTGCCATTTTTACAAAGAACCCTGGGAATTACCTGTTGCCAGAGCTGCGGTGTTTGTGTTTTGTGTGATGCTTTCGGCAGACAGCTAGCAGAGGGAGACCAAGCAAGCCATATGTGATAACACCTGGTGAAATCAAGTCAATCCTCTTGACTTTTTAAACTTCTAACTAGTGAGATCATGCCAACTCAAACAGTTCGCACACTTGAAAGAGAAAACATGCAATATAGTCCAAAAACAAAACAAATGCACCAAAAAGAATCTAAAAATCAGTTCTAGAGCAATAGCTAAAAATAACATTCTCCAGCAGACCTGTTAATTAACAATAAACACAGAAGGAAAAAAACAACACTGTTATAAAACATGCTAATGTTCATGACCCCCCCTCCCCAAACTGTACAAGTGGCACCCTCCGGTGGATTGGGGAAAAAGTTTGAGCAAAACATGTCAACAAATGGAACTACAACAGAAAATTTTTCTCCTGCTTTCTCCATAAAAAAAAAGACAGAGGGCAAGTTGTATTGTGGTTTACAGCTGAGCTGCGATATCTGTGCCTTTCACCCCAAAACATCCGATTTCAGCAAAACCTTAATTAGATGCCTTTTATGACATGCTTGTCTATTCTTGTTTCCCTAACAAAAATGGGCCCTCCGGAACCCATACAGGGCGACAGGAAATGTCTATCATAAAATAAACAACAAAGAAATTGATCTTTTGACAAATGGCTTGAGGAGTATCGTTGCTCAGAAAATTCACTTAACACGTGATGTCTGTTAACATTTACAATGAATTTTTTTCGAAAGAACAAAGCTGCAGATTTTTTTTTTCCCTGCTCCTTTCTGCACTTGAATTAATGAATTTCTGGGAACAAAGTGGCAATGTTATTGATAAATAAATATCTGGATATGGTAAACATAATTACACTAACGGATAACCACACCACAGTATAACCGGATATATTCAAGACAAACTGTATTGCACTGCTCAATCTTACTCGATTCTAACTCAAGGAAGTAAAAATCATCATTAGCTGGTATTTCCTCTGGCTTCAAGTGTTTCTAGTTTGCTGTCAGGCCCTGCCGACTCATGGATCCATTTATTGATCAGTCAATTGGTTTGTCCCTGTGGGTTTACCAATCCGGATGGCAGACAAACAAACCCTAAATACCCATTTTAACCTATAAAGTTCTTCATTCGCGGAGTAGATTACTGGTATTTATAGGCACTCCATAACAGAGGCAAGAAATCAAAAAAGATGATAAAGAAAATTAACAGACAATAGCGAAACAAAAAAAATTACAGATGCACCAGATTGGAAGCTGTCAATGTAAATGATATCATTGCCCCACAACACGTTGCAGACACTCAAATCTCTTTCAGCGAAGCTCTGGTATCATTCAGCATGATCATTTTTTAGTGTGCCGATAATTTTCACTTATTTCTGATGTCTGATATGTCCTCTAACACAGTGATTTTCAAACTGGGAGTTTTGGGGGTATCAGGTCATTTCGAAATTTAGTCGACTTGAACTTGAAATAATATTACTTTATTTATGTGGATGTTTTTCTCCAAGTTCTTGCTCATTAATGCTTGGAATTTATCTTTCTATCATCCTTTTTTTTATTTTTTCTTAATTGCATTTTTTTTTTTAAAGTTGGGTGTGGGGTATATTCAAGGGGGCACCACCTGAAAAGGACTGAAAACCACTGCTCTGGCATGTTCACATTATCATCTCTTGCCTTCTATTTAATCGATGCCTTACACTGATGACCCCAGGAATAACCCAGCCCCCCCCCCATCTTTAGCGATGTCCACTAATTCCCTTACACTGATGACCCCAGGAATAACCCCGCCCCCCATTCTTTAGAGATGTCCACTAATTCCCTTACACTGATGACCCCAGGAATAACCCCGCCCCCCATTCTTTAGAGATGTCCACTAATTCCCTTACACTGATGACCCCAGGAATAACCCCACCATTCTTTAGAGATGTCCACTAATTCCCTTACACTGATGACCCCAGGAATAACCCCGCCATTCTTTAGAGATGTCCACTAATTCCCTTACACTGATGACCCCAGGAATAACCCCACCAATCTTTAGAGATGTCCACTAATCCCCTTACACTGATGACCCCAGGAAAAACCCCACCATTCTTTAGAGATGTCCACTAATTCCCTTACACTGATGACCCCAGGAATAACCCCGCCCCTCATTCTTTAGAGATGTCCACTAATTCCCTTACACTGATGACCCCAGGAATAACCCCACCATTCTTTAGAGATGTCCACTAATTCCCTTACACTGATGACCCCAGGAATAACCCGCCCCCCATTCTCTAGAGATGTCCACTAATTCCCTTACACTGATGACCCCAGGAATAACCCCACCAATCTTTAGCGATGTCCACTAATCCCCTTACACTGATGACCCCAGAAATAACCCCACCATTCTTTAGCGATGTCCACTAATTTCCTTACACTGATGACCCCAGGAATAACCCTGCCTCCCATTCTTTAGAGATGTCCACTAATTCTCTTACACTGATGACCCCAGGAATAACCCCGCCATTCTTTAGAGATGTCCACTAATTCCCTTACACTGATGACCCCAGGAATAACCCCACCAATCTTTAGAGATGTCCACTAATCCCCTTACACTGATGGCCCCAGGAATAACCCCGCCAATCTTTAGCGATGTCCACTAATCCCCTTACACTGATGACCCCAGGAATAACCCCACCATTCTTTAGAGATGTCCACTAATTCCCTTACACTGATGACCCCAGGAATAACCCCACCATTCTTTAGAGATGTCCACTAATTCCCTTACACTGATGACCCCAGGAATAACCCCACCATTCTTTAGAGATGTCCACTAATTCCCTTACACTGATGACCCCAGTAATAACCCCACCATTCTTTAGCGATGTCCACTAATTTCCTTACATTGATGACCCCAGGAATAACCTCGTCCCCCATTCTTTAGAGATGTCCACTAATTCCCTTACACTGATGACCCCAGGAATAACCCCACCAATCTTTAGAGATGTCTACTAATCCCCTTACACTGATGGCCCCAGGAATAACCCCGCCAATCTTTAGCGATGTCCACTAATCCCCTTACACTGATGACCCCAGGAATAACCCCACCATTCTTTAGAGATGTCCACTAATTCCCCTACACTGATGACCCCAGGAATAACCCCACCAATCTTTAGCGATGTCCACTAATCCCCTTACACTGATAACCCCAGGAATAACCCCACCAATCTTTAGAGATGTCCACTAATTCCCTTACACTGATGACCCCAGGAATAACCCCACCATTCTTTAGCGATGTCCACTAATTCCCTTACACTGATGACCCCAGGAATAACCCCGCCATTCTTTAGCGATGTCCACTAATCCCCTTACACTGATGACCCCAGGAATAACCCCACCATTCTTTAGAGATGTCCACTAATTCCCTTACACTGATGACCCCAGGAATAACCCCACCAATCTTTAGCGATGTCCACTAATCCCCTTACACTGATGACCCCAGGAATAACCCCACCAATCTTTAGAGATGTCCACTAATTCCCTTACACTGATGTCCACTAATCTCCCTTAATCAGGAGGATGGATGTGAACAATTAGTCTTTACCTTAACAACAACCTTGTTAATTTTTTATTGTGATTGTGGACCAACCTGCATGCACTGAAAGCACACAACTACATTCATGTATAAATGTATGCATCTTTGGACCATTGATGCTCTCAGAGTTCACACCTCCAGTATGTGTTGATCTGATGAAATGAAAGCCCTGCACCGCACGGTTCTCTAAAGAGAATTGATCATGAACGAACCAGCTGTCAATACGGCAAAAACGCAGCAATATTCAGCCGTATCACTTCCAGAAACTGTCGTTCACTTTGAGATTCTTCACTGAGCTTGAGATCAAAAGGTTTGGGTTCAAGTCTTGTGTATATCACTCACACACCTGCTGAATCAACATCCCCTCCTCCAGCACTTGTTGTGACTAACAGCGTATGCTGAGGGTGCTGCTGCTGCTGCTGCTGTTGCTGGGGGGGCTTCCCCGAGGTTAAAGCCGCAAGACCAGCCTGGTTTATACTGATGGGAAATGTCAAAGACACCGGTTGCATGGTTAGCTTGCCGCCCACAGTTTTTGTGGCCAGGCTAAATGTTCCACCTGGTTTGAAGATGGCTTGGCTGGAGCACAGCTGGGCCGCTGAGCCGGACTGGATGGGGACGGCGATGGAGGGAGAAGTCTGTAGCACACTGCCGAGAGCGATGCTTTGTTGTTGCGGGGCTTTGTTGTGCTGATGGTGGTGGTGATGATGAGGATGTGCCTTAGAAGATGATGGATGCAGGTGGTGGTGCTGACTGTTTGAGTTTTCTGAAGAAGAATTTAGAAAACAATTATGTAATTGGATTATAGAAATAATAAAGCAATAAAGGATAGACAGAAGAGAGCAGGATTTTTTTCCGGTGGTACGCAACAGTATGCTTTTGTAGGGCTTTAATTTTGATGTGCTCTGCATCACAATAGTCCGCCTTTGCTTCCCAAGACATATCCTTATGAAAGTTAGACTTTTTTCAAAGTTAGAAACAAGTTCAGTTACAAATGGCTGTTGACTTCAACTGTTGCAGATCAATCAGCATTCCGTTAATTCTTATTGGCACACATCACACTGACCGCGTTACCTGTTGTAGATCGGTCAGCATTCCATGCATGATGTAGTCCACATCACAACAGTCCACCTTTGCTTTCCAAGACATTTTCTTATACCAGTTTGGCTTTTTCAATGTCAGATTTGTCCGGAGTGTTGTGATGATAATCTTTTCTAATCACTAATCACTAAGTGGTGAGTATCGGCAGCTTTTTACAACGAAAAAAGCTTTAAAAGAGAGGTATAATAAACAAGGTGTCACAGTTATTAACATTGAGACGATTAGTCGGCGACAGAATCAGTCACATAAAGCCATATCACCAATTCACTGGCTGCTGACACAGTCATGCTAAAATTGTTTCATTTGCTAGGAAAATGAATTTGTATGAACCTCTTCTGAAAAACTAGTAGTTTAGCGAAATGAAGTATCTTTGTTTCCAAAGTGCAGGGAAGTGAGAGGTTTTATTCTCCATTTGTTTTTAATTAAATCAGAGCGATACAATTTGTGTGTGATTTTCCAGACCAAATTGTAAGTGAAAAGGTCAGAACACGGCTAGATCTACTAAGTGAAAAGGTCAGAACACAGCTAGATCTACTAAGAGAAAAGGTCAGAATAATAACACAGCTAGGTCTACTAAGGAAAAAGGTCAGAACAATAATGCAGCTAGATCTACTAAGTGAAAAGGTCAGAACACAGCTAGATCTACTAAGAAGGTCAGAACAATAGCACAGCTAGATCTACTAAGGGAAAAGGTCAGAACAATAGCACAGCTAGATCTACTAAGGGAAAAAGGTCAGAACAACAACACAGCTAGATCTACTAGGGGGGAAAAGAACAACAGCTCAGCTAGATCACGGAAAAGGTCAGAACAACAACACACTAGATCTGTTAGGGGAAAAGGTCAAAACAACAACACAGCTAGATCAACTAGGGAAAAAGGTCAAAACAACAACACAGCTAGATCGACTAAGGGAAAAGGTCAGAACAATAACACAGCTAGAACAATTAAAGGAAACGGTCAGAACAATAACGCAGCTAGATCTAGAACTGTCCACACTGCTGTTGTCATTAATGAGTCTAAGCCAGAGAGTGATAACAGTCTTGACATTATGATAAGTAATGCAACTGCTGCACCTACAGCCAACAATACTGGTTGGGATCATGTTGAAAAACAACTTTTCAATCAGATGGTCTGTTTCAATCAGATGGTCTGTTTCTATCAGCTGTGTCTGGAGTTCGGTAGTTCTGAAATTTGACATGCCACTCAAGAATGGTCATAAAATCCAAAGTATTTGGATTCTCCTTTTGCGGCTTCTCTTTGCCGATCTTGAGGTAGGGTGGTTTAGGCTACTGGGAATACCCACTGCATGTGTCGAGCTGTTGGCGCCACCTAGGGGTAAACTGTTCAAGAAAAATGCTACCTCTACTCCTGAAATGCTTTGCAACGTCAGGGCAGGAAGAGATCTCTGGAACTGGCTTTTTTTTGTTGTTGGCTTCGTATATAGTACTTCTCAGTGACTCTGATACTCTTGGGTAGTGTCCCTTTCATTGCAGTTGGTTCGTGGGATCTCTTCATTTTCTACTAGCACTAAAGTAATCCACTGTCAGTTTGCTGGACCAGTGACAGTGTTGTCAAACTTCCTAGAAGGTCGCGCCTGCACTAGATTATCACATTCAGACTAGTTTAACATAACTTCCTAGAAGGTCGCACTTGCACTAGACTATCACATTCAGACTAGTTTAACACAACTTTCTAGAAGGTCGCACTTGCACTAGACTATCACATTCAGACTAGTTTAAGACAACTTCCTAGAAGGTCACACTTGCACTAGACTATAACATTCAGACTAGTTTAACACAACTTCCTAGAAGGTCGCACTTGCACTAGACTATCACATTCAGACTAGTTTAACACAACTCTCTAGAAGGTCGCACTTGCACTAGACTATCACATTCACAGACTAGTTTAACACAACTTCCTAGAAGGTCACACTTGCACTAGACTATCACATTCAGACTAGTTTAACACAACTTCCTAGAAGATTACACTTGCACTAGACTATGACATTCAGACTAGTTTAACACAACTTTCTAGAAAGTCGCACTTGCACTAGACTATCACATTCAGACTAGTTTAACACAACTTCCTAGAAGATTGCACTTGCACTAGACTATCACATTCAGACTAGTTTAACACAACTTCCTAGAAGGTCGCACTTGCACTAGACTATCACATTCAGACTAGTTTAACACAACTTCCTAGAAGGTTGCACTTGCACTAGACTATCACATTCAGACTAGTTTAACACAACTTCCTAGAAGGTCGCACTTGCACTAGACTATCACATTCAGACTAGTTTAACACAACTTCCTAGAAGATTGCACTTGCACTAGACTAACACATTCAGACTAGTTTAACACAACTTTCTAGAAGGTCGCACTTGCACTAGACTATCACATTCACAGACTAGTTTAACACAACTTCCTAGAAGGTCGCACTTGCACTAGACTATCACATTCAGACTAGTTTAACACAACTTCCTAGAAGGTCGCACTTGCACTAGACTATCACATTCAGACTAGTTTAACACAACTTCCTAGAAGGTCGCACTTGCACTAGACTATCACATTCAGACTAGTTTAACACAACTTCCTAGAAGGTCGCACTTGCACTAGACTATCACATTCAGACTAGTTTAACACAACTTCCTAGAAGGTCGCACTAGACTATCACATTCAGACTAGTTTAACACAACTTCCTAGAAGGTCGCACTTGCACTAGACTATCACATTCAGACTAGTTTAACACAACTTCCTAGAAGGTCGCACTTGCACTAGACTATCACATTCAGACTAGTTTAACACAACTTCCTAGAAGGTCACACTTGCACTAGACTATCACATTCAGACTAGTTTAACACAACTTCCTAGAAGGTCGCACTTGCACTAGACTATCACATTCAGACTAGTTTAACACAACTTCCTAGAAGGTCGCACTTGCACTAGACTATCACATTCAGACTAGTTTAACACAACTTCCTAGAAGATTACACTTGCACTAGACTATCACATTCAGACTAGTTTAACACAACTTCCTAGAAGGTCGCACTTGCACTAGACTATCACATTCAGACTAGTTTAACACAACTTCCTAGAAGATTGCACTTGCACTAGACTATCACATTCAGACTAGTTTAACACAACTTCCTAGAAGGTCGCACTTGCACTAGACTATCACATTCAGACTAGTTTAACACAACTTCCTAGAAGGTCGCACTTGCACTAGACTATCACATTAAGACTAATTTAACACAACTTCCTAGAAGGTCGCACTTGCACTAGACTATCACATTCAGACTAGTTTAACACAACTTCCTAGAAGGTCGCACTTGCACTAGACTATCACATTCAGACTAGTTTAACACAACTTCCACTCCAGGATGTCCAGAACTGACCCTGGTTAGATAATGGCCAAAAAATTAACATCTCTCTTCGCCATCTTGACTGGAGGTAATTAGATTAATTGTCTCAAATAAAGACAGGCTGATGCATAACTGAATTTTTAAAAAGGCATGTCAATATTATTATAAATGGACAGCAGTGTTGCTGACAAAGGTATTTTTTAAAGTTAGATAAGTACAAAACATCATGTGTCAAAAAATCTTCTCGTGTGTCTAACATCCTTGAATTTGGTGTCATTTAAATATTTTGTTGTTGTATACTGATCCTTAAAATTTTGAAGTATTCCGCTTTCATATTTCTTTAATTTGATACGTTACTATACAGCCAATACGTTTTTTTCAGGACAGTTTTTAGCTTTGTAATGTTGCAGTAAAAGGTAATTCAGCTAAATAATTTATTCTGCCCAACCCAAGAAAAAATCCCATCCTGACAGTGTTAAATACGCCCCATTCCGGAATGAAAAAATACACTAATCTACACATTTATAAACTTCATAAATAAGACACTATACTGGGGGAAAAGAGAATAAAAGAAAAGTTCAAAACTTTGGTTTAAAAAAATGTCCGATTGTTTATTTTATTTTTTTAAAGAAAATATTTTAATTTAGAAAACATTTTTTCTTCTTCTTCTTTTTCACATTCACCGGCTGTAAACTTCAGTTAATGTTTTGGTTGTTCGTCCATTTATGGACTCTTGTCCTGTTTCAGAAACTGAGTGTTGCATGCACATTTGTTTTACAGGTCTGACTCTTCTGCATGCAGAAAGTTGATTCCTTGCCTCTCAGGCAAATGTACTCTGACTTCGAAGGAAGCTCTCAATTAGTCAACTCTCACAACATGCTTCTGGGCATGCAGTGGGTCTATTCTTGTTTTCCCCCACAATGGGGCCCTGCAACCCACACAGGGAGAAAACCTTTCTGAAGATAGAATAAGGGAACATGACACCCAATGCGCCCCAAACAAGCAGTTGTACAAGGCAACTAACTAGGAGTGTTCCCTTCAAAGTCCCAGTGCATCTACCTAAGAGGTGAGGAAATAACAGACTGCAGACAAAAAAGCTATATCTGTAAAACAGATGTGCATGCAAAACTTAACTTCTGGAACATGTTAAAAGTCTAGAAGTGAATAAACAATCAGAACTTTCCCCAGAGTTGACAACCAGTGAACGCTACGAAGAAGTATGGTTTAAACAACGGATCAACATCATAAGTGCTGTGTTCTACTTCTAACTCAAGTCTGAGTCTGAAGACTCTCAGCGGAGTTCATGAAAATCCGTAGTACAAGCGAGGATCCTAAAAATACTTTTGGGTAGATTTTTTACTCCAAATTTTGCCCGGGCAGCCCCGTTAGGCTGCTCTTTTCGATTTTCAACTGCAAAGGGATTTTTTTACTGTGCAACAATACATACTGGTGTCCGATCTTACTATCCAGAGACCAGGAGAAATTACTAGAAGTCCACGTGAAAAAATCCCTCTCGCATTCGAGGCAGGCGCCAGGCCTCGAGACAACTCAAGAGCTATGAAGAAGAAGAGGAATCCATCCTGCAGCCTTGGCCTCTCTCATCAATTTTCTTATTAGGATCTCTATTGGAGGTCCCCATTCCATTTGTATCCCAGTTCAGTGCCCGTTTGGTGATTTTCTTTTCGCTTCTTCTTGAGATGTTCCCAATATTTTGCCATCTTATTTGTCCTACAACTGACGATACAAATAGTTGACCAGACACTTCTCTTATTTCTTCATCTTTCTTGACTGCTCTGAGTATAGAAAAAAGAAAAAGAGAGACACACACAAAAACAAAAGCACAGACGTGAACATTTTTATGGAGGTTACAGGAAGCCTCACCGTAGGTTAAACTTGTCAGTCCATTAACCAAGTGTGACGAACTAACTGTGGATGATGGTTCCTGAAACAGAATGCATCAAAACAAGATATTACAGAAATGGTATAATCTATCTAAATCTTTTTTTTTCCTGGTTATGGAAGTAGTCTAACTAAGATTCTCTGTGTGTGATCTTTAGAAGTAGACTAACTAAGATTCTCCCTGTGTGATCTACAGAAGAAGACTAACTAAGATTCTCTGTGTGTGGTATATGGGAAGAAAATAACTAAGACTCTCCCTGTGTGATCTATGGAAGGAAACTGGCAAAGATTTTCATTGTGCGATCTATGGAAGAAAACTAGCAAAGATTCTCACTGTGTGATCTATGGGAAGAGAATAGGAAAGATTCTCTGTGTGATTTATGGAAAAAGACTAGCAAAGATTCTCACTGTGAGATCTATAGAAGGACACTAGCCCAGATTCTCACCGTGAGATCTATAGAAGGACACTAGCCCAGATTCTCACCGTGAGATCTATAGAAGGACACTAGCCCAGATTCTCACCGTGAGATCTATAGAAGGACACTAGCCCAGATTCTCAGTGTGTGATCTATAGAAGGACACTAGCCCAGATTCTCAGTGTGTGATCTATAGAAGGACACTAGCCCAGATTCTCAGTGTGTGATCTATAGAAGGACACTAGCCCAGATTCTCAGTGTGTGATCTATGGGAAGAGAATAGCAAAGATTCTCCCTGTGTGATCTACAGAAGGAGACTAGCAAAGATTCTTCCTGTGTGATCTATGGAAGGAGACTGGCTGTTCTAGTCTTTATGACACAATTTGCCTTTAGCAGTCGCATGGCAACAGGGTCAAGGTATGAGTCACTGCACACATTTTTTAAGACTCAAAGGAGTGTAATCAATTTAATTCTCAGATTCGTTTATGTTTATTAATTACTCCCCTTAACACATTTCTAAAAAGAAACTAGTTAATACATTTAAATAATTTTCTTCTAGAGACCTGTGTAAAATGGGTGGATTTAAACAGATCTGTTTCGAGAATTATCGGGTTCATTACATTTTCCCCAAGGGTTTCTGAAATTTTAAAGACATTCATAACTTAGTGAAGAGAAAACTGACATACCAGTGATGAAACCTGTGTGGGGATGCCGGCAGCTGGGTCGCTGTTGGCAGTGGAGGGGTTGATTGCCACCAAGGCTGGTGTGGTGCCGCCTGTACCTAGGGCAACAGAAGTCAGCATGGCACTCTGTAGACTATTACTATCCACAAGGACGGCACTGGATGTTAGAACTCCGCTACTAGGAATGAGCTTTAACCCTTCCAAAGTGCTTGCAGTGAGTTTAGCAGAGTTAGAAAGTGTTTGATGGAACTTAAGTCCAGAGTTGCGGCTTCTCTTTGCCGATCTTGAGGTGGGGAGGTTCAGGCTACTGGGATTACCCAATGCATGTGTCGAGCTGTTGGCGCCACCTGGAGGTAAACTGTTCAAGAAAAATGTCTGTCCCTGGTGTGCGGCTAATTCTGCTAACTGGGCTCCAGTGATATTTACATACTGCCCGTTCATCAGGGACGGATCAACACCTGTTAAGACTAGGTTAAAATCCTTGAAAATGTTGTTCTTAATTGCCGATGTTGTGGACGTACCACTGGCAGCAGTGGTAAATTTGGCCGTGCCGAGCGTGGCAGCATTCAGCTGCCCAAGACTGACACTAGGAATGGCTATCAAGTTCCCTGTGTGGTGGCTGTTTAAACTAGTGGGTGTCATGATGCCAGTTAGGCTAGTTTGCTGAACCGTGCCAGGTGCTATGTTGGCTGGTGACACGGATACTGATATGGCAGGTGTTAACGGTAAGGCTCCGTTGCCACTGGCAACTGCCATCAGATGATTGCTGGAGCCAGTGTTGCTTCCGCTGCGTTTTCTTTTGCCCGGATTTGTGACAGGTGCCGACGAGAGGACAGGGGAGGGATAGGCAGAAGGACTGCGAGAGGTCAAAATCTCCCGAGACTTCACTGGCCAGTTTAAAGCAAAACTGGCGGACGGCGCCGACGAGACTACAACAGGTGCAACACACAACGTAGAGAAAGAGGATGTGGACAACGATAATGGTGTTGCAACTGCTCCTGATGAGATGCACAACGACGGAGGTTCCGGGGCAGAGGCCGACACTGGTGATGTGGGTAGTTTTGATTTGGGTTTGGTGGTTGTCTTTGTTGCATTGATTAGACTGTTGCTGAGGGCGAAAGCAGCTCCCTGGCTGGTGTCCACCATGTTGAACTCGTACGGATCCTGAGAGGTGCTCAACACCTGGCATTCCTGCGGCAGGTTTGACTCCACACAAAGTTTTCTGAGGAATTAACCAAATGCACATATTAGGAACAGGTTCGTACTCTCATAACAGATCTGCAACTTCTTAATACCTCTAAATGACAGGATATATTTGTACCTGGAAATTACATGATATCTAAATATCTGTAAATGAAATGGCATATTAACATCTGTGAATGACATATCTAAACATCTGTAAATGACATGACATCTGTAAATGACATGGCATCCTGACATCTGTAAATGGCATGACATCCTGACATCTCTAAATTACATTACATCGTGACATCTCTAAATTACATCGTGACATCTCTAAATTACATTACATCCTGACATCTCTAAATTACATTACATCCTGACATCTCTAAATTACATTACATCCTGACATCTCTAAATGATGCCACATTTCACATTCCAATTATTTATCTGAACATCTTCAAATGCTTGTTTACTTTTAACAAAACTTAACATTTCTGTTCGTCTCCTAACTTTCTATCCATCACAGCAGTCAAGAATGTGAGGAGAATACAAGCCCCCTGACTAGAATGTCCTAGAAACCTGTTACTTAACATTTTCTTCATGAAATCTCACATTTAATCAGCTCCTAGAGATGAATTAATCCTGTCGCTTTCCTGTTACTATCTTAAAGTTTCACTTAATTTTAACACTCTTCTAACCCAACCGTTTTACCTTAAAGTTTAGTGTTTTTTTTTTCAACCTTTTCTCTAACCAAAAGAACTTTTTTATTTTATTTTTAACTTTTCTCAAACCCAGAGAACTGTTTTACCAAAAAGTTTTATTTAACCATTTTCTGATAAACAGAACTGTTTTTACCTTAGCATTTAATTTGATTTTTAACTTTCTATTTTTTCTTTTTCCCTTCAAAAGTGTTTTTATCTTAAAATGTAATTTGATTTAAACATTGTTTTAGGCCTGTTTTTATCTTAAAGTTTAATTTATTTCAACCTTTTTTTAACCTCAAGAAGTGTTTATCTTAAAATTTATTTTGAATTAAACCTCATTTTACGCCTATTTTTATCTGAAAGATTAATTTTAATTTTATTTTGTTTACATTTTTTTTTATTCATTTTATTTACTTTTATTTTTCTACACCAAATTATTTAGTCAAGAAAACCTAGCAGTTTCATCATTTAGACAAACAGACACTATCATAAAATATGTGATGAGAAAAGGAGCACTAGAAAATATGTGACGACTGGAAAGATCACTGGTAGAAGAAACAGAGGCAGACCAAGAGAAATAATGGTGGATAGCTTAAGACAGTGGTGTGGAGGAATATCATCAGTGGAACTGATCCAGAACACCAGAAACCGAGACCTGTGGAGATGCATAATTGCCTACGCCAGCGGGCAAGGCACATGATGATGGTCATAAAATAAAATTTTCAAAAAGAAAAAAAAAATGAATATGACAGCCACTACTTCAAGTGACCACAAAGATACAGCAACCTACTTGTGGGGCGGAGGATTCAAATGCCGTTCTAACGCACTAAGTAAAGCTGCCCTAATGTAGTCCATCTTCCTGGAGAAAAGGAAGCAGCCTCGGTCATGTAGCCGACCTGCAAACTGAGCATTCTGGAAAAGACAACAACAACAAAAAATCTAAAGTATTCTGTGATCTATCCCAAAATAAAACCCTTTCATTCTAGCAAAGCTTTAAAAAAAAAAAAAAACTGGTAGTCATGACCACATTAGAATTCATTAGAGTCTTATTTGGGTCACTAATAAATTTTTACTTTCATTTACATAAAAGGAAGAGAGCCGACTGGTCTAGCGGCAAGACGCTAGCCTACGAATCGGAAGGTCGTGGGTTCGGTTCCTGATGAGCGCCTGATTTTTTTCAGAAATGACCTTGGCTCCTAGGTCGACCCAGCCTTGAGTGGGTACCAGGTAAAGGAGGAAGGTAAAGGAGGCCGGCGTGATGCTGACCACATCACCACCTTTACTTTACTTACATGAAAGGAGTAATCAATATGATGCAATCTTATGATGTGCTCCAACACTGTCAACTGTATGCTGACAACAGAGACGGAATCTGGCCTGTTCCAACCAAAATGAAGACAAAACTGTATGGTACACGAGAGGATACGGACTGCACGATAGCTTTCATAAAGGCTACTGGCCTCCTGCTATAAGTTTTGATATAAGGACTGAAGAACATCAAACATCAACACAGTAAAGAATTAAATGGAATACAATCTCTGGTGCCTAAAATATATATTGGGTGACTCAGGCCCTGACCCTATGACCTCTACACGTGAGGCCTACGTGAAAATTAGATGTCAACCTGCCTTTTGAAAAAACCATTTGGTTTTAAGGATCCCACCCCTCCCTGACACTCCATAGTGCTATTTTTAGTTAATATATTCACATCCTGACCTCACAGAGAAGTCTACGCAGGCAGGGACACAGTCAACAGCATTAACTATACATCTCGTAAATAGGTCATTACAGACAAGTCAGAGAAGTGAACATTTTATGGAAACTGTCCCCAACCAGAAGTGGGGGTTTTGCAGCTTCTCATGTCAACAGTGTTAATACAGCACCGGATGTATCAATGGCAACTGTCTGGCCCTGGCTTTTCCCCCCGGACACTGTTGTTTGTTTTGTCCATGGTGCAGATTTAACATCAAATCATTTCATATAATATAAATTTAACAATGAATCACAGGATTTGGTAAATAAATGTTACACCAAATCGTAAGATCTCATAAATTTTACACCAAATCGTAAGATCTCATAAATTTTACACCAAATCGTAAGATCTCATAAATTTTACATTAAATTATTAAGATCTCATAAATTTTACACCAAATCATTAAGATCTCATAAATTTTACACCAAATCATAAGATCTCATAAATTTTATACCAAATCATAAGATCTCATAAATTTTACACAAAATCATAAGATCTCATAAATTTTACACCAAATCATAAGATCTAATAAATTTTACACCAAATCATAGATCTCATAAATTTTACACCAAATCATAAGATCTAATATATTTTACACCAAATCAAAAGATCTGGTATATAAATGCTAGGAGAAATCACAAGATATCATATGTAAAATGCTGAATGTTGAATTAAGAATTGACATCATAGCACTCAAGACACTACAGTAAGTGCTCTGTCCCCATCTCCAGCAGCAAGCGAAGAGTTCTAATTCCGATGGCACGTTGTATAAACCTTTCCCTAGAGTGTTGAGTGTCACCAAATCCCCTGGTAACTCCTCGCAGAGCCATTCTCCTCAGACCGTAATGATCTATTTGTGCCTGCGCAGTGTTCACTCGCTCCCAAAGGGCCCTCATAACATCTAGCTTTTCATACATCAATTCACCACCTTGTGGTGCAGAAAGGACCAGTCTATCTACCTGCTCGTTTCCCAGCATGACCTTAAGAAAATATCCAAAGGACGCTAACCACCTGCTTCTGCTACAGGCTGAAGCAAAACAAGTGGCAACACACACACACAAGACACTTACAGCAATAGGCTTTGGGTGATGTGATAAAAAGTTCTGATGGCATTTTGCATCTGAGGATACTTCTGGGAATGGCTGCGGAAGTTTTGTCAGCAGGTCTTGCTGGGCTGCTGTCTCCTCCTTGACGGTGATGGCTGCAGGTAACACTGCTGTGGACGTGAATCTGGGAAGAAGTAGGTATAAATCATTCAACACTGCTTTTAAGGAACCATACTATATATTTATACATGGGCGGTGGGAGAATGGGCAGCATGGTGTGTAGCAGCAAGAGACACTCACCTGTGGACTGGTAGGTCGTAGACTCAGGTCCTGATGGAACTGGTCTTTTTTTTTTTTTAAATCACTGCATCAGCGTGATATTGACCACACCATCCATCCAGTGCTAACTGGTCTATAAAATATAGGTCTAGCCCTATATGCCTGACCATGGAAAAGGGTCTTTTACTTATTACATAGCAGGAGGAAGGAAGGAAGGAAGGAAGGGATGAGGAGGTGGACTAAACGTTAAATATTTTCTCTAACATCAAATCAGGAGTTCTGTATGGAGTTGGAACACGCATAACAGCTATAAGAATTTATAAAGGTAAAAAGTAAAGATCCCTTTTCATGCCTTTAGGCGCATCAGGCAAATGGGAAGATCATCAGATCAGTTCTCGTTGTGCCTAGTGGCACATGAGGCTTCAGAGAGGACTTTCCATGCTTTCCTGTCCTGTGCAATCTTCAGTGCAGTTTTCCATGTCAAAGATGCCGCACTCAGGTCACTTTCCATCGTTCTTCTCCATGTTGTTTTTGGGCACCCTTGTTTTCTCATTCCCTCTGGTGTTCATGTGAGAGTTGTTTTGGCAGGTATATCAGGATTCATTCTCATAACGTGGCCAAGCCATTTCCATCTTCTCTTGGTTATCATACTGTCTAAAGTTTCTTGGTTTGTTACTTGAAGTAGTTTAGTGTTTGAGATTGTATCTGGCCAGAAAATTTTTATAATTCTACGTAGACATGTGTGGTGGAGGGTAGACAGCTTGTGTGCATCCTTTTTGGTCATTCTCCAGCATTCCGCTCCATAAAGAAGAACTGGCAAAATTATGCTCTTGTAGAGTCAGAGTTTCGTTCCTCTGCAGTAATTGTTGGATTTCCAGATTTGCCTCATCCTTCCAAAAGCAGCTCTAGCTTTGTTCAGACCTGACTGTATGTCCTCTTCGGTCCCTCCCGGCAGAGACACCACTCTGCCAAGATATGTGAAATGTTCTACATTTTCAAGAGTTTGGTTATTTATGGTCACTGGTTGTTGGTTTGGACTGCTTGTCATGACCTTAGTTTTCTTTATGGGAAGAGCACCCATATTTTTACAGACCATCCGCACTAGGTAAAGAATGCACTGGGTAATCGCTTTGGTCAGTGATAACAGGAATAACAGTAAAAATAATCAACGGAAAGCAAAAAGGAAGATAAAGAAAGAGAAGAAAATGAGAGGCGGAGAAGGAGAAGAAGAGGTAGTTCTCCAAAGCCTCATTTGTCGTGGCATGACCAAAGAACATTTTGAAGGACATATGCCATCATCTAAACAATTGACCATTTATCAAAACTAAAAAAAAAAAAAAAAAAAAAAAAAAAACTATCATACCTCTGAAACACATTTGACACTGGGTGAGGTTTCATAACAGTTGTTGCAGCTGGAGATATCGTACTGGAAGGCATGACAGTTCTTGGAGCTCCTGCAACAGCGGCAGCGTGGACTAGCTTCCCATCCTGTTGAGACACCACAGGCGCCATCTGCTGCTTCAGCAAGTACACTGTTGAACTGATGGCTGCAGGTGAGAGCTGAATGCAGTTTGTGGATGTGGCAGCACTGGACGCAGCTGCTGCATTCTGACTTTCTGCCTTGGCCCTGAGAAGAACGTCCTTGGCAGCTTTGTGCTCCTTCAGCAGGTCATCAAAAGACTTCCTCCTTCCAGACACAGCTCGTCTCAGGGTTAAGGTATGAGTCTGAAGAGAAAGAGGAAACATAACCACACCAGTTATGATAAAAAAAGTTGAACTGAGCCGAGTTGAATTAAGAACTGACACAGCGATTGGGAGATTCCTATAAGCATTCCCTCCTGGACAGAAAATCCATGATAAGCTTCTGGTGCAAGTCTTATCAAGTGATGCAAACCACATGATACCAGTTTCAATTTTCCGAAGCATGCTCTGACTCCATAAACAATAACCTGTCGGTCTGTGCTGCTCTCAAGACGACGGAAAGCTGCTGTTACTGCATCCACCTCCATTCCAATACTGGATGTAGTGAGGTTGTACGCAAGGCTTCCTGTTTTTAAAGTGCCCATTCACCTTTGCTGCGTTTCTGTCCACTTACATAGAAATATTTTAACAACCCGTTCTACTTAACTGACACAAATTTACATTTTGCTGCTTTAATGTGGGTTCTGGTGCCTTATTTTGGGAAGAAAAGAAAGAGAACAGACATACTGCCGCTTAACAAGCACGTCATATTAGACCAATAAATAAGATCATGATGAAATTGAATTACTGGAGGTAAATGGCGCACACATCATAGCTTAGCTCTTTAAAGAGCGAACTAAAAAAAAAGAAGATATTAATGACTGGAAACCGTAAATCAAACTGCACTTACACCCAGAAAAATCACCTTGGCATACAGCCATTTTTTATTCTTAGATTTACATCCACGGGACTATGCTCCACTGGGAGATGGGGGGCAGCAGAAGCAGTAACAGTAGAAAAAGAAGGGGGAAAAACCAGCAGCCAGCACAGAGTTCCAGCTCTAGTGGTACCGGCCGCAGTATGATGGTATGTCCGTCTTGCCTTTCCCGCTGAATGCTCACTGTTGGCCAGATCCCCCTAGCTGTTCTTCCCCCCCCCCCCCCCTTCCCAAGGTTTGATGGTAAAAATTAATTCTACGGACACAAACAATACATTGCACAATTTAGTGCCTAGCATATTTTGGTGTATCTCGTCAGGTGCACTATTACTACAGAGTTAAATCAACATGCAATGAAGCACAAGACTTTGAATTTCCAGAGAGTACAGATGTACAGCAACTCAAAAATGCCGTTTATGTATTTCATCAAGAAAAGGATTCACTTGTGCTTCATAATATGTTGATTTAACTCTGTAGTCATGCAACTGACAAGATACAGAAAACTATGCCAGGCAATAAATTGGGCAATATATTGTTTGTGTCTGCATCATTTAAAGTAACAATTATAACCAAGCCAGAAACAAGCAAATGTCATACAACAGCACTACTAGCAAACATGAGGATTTCTTGAATCACTGTAGATAAGGGCAGCCACTTCCTTGGGGGAGGGAGGGGGAAGGGGGACCCCTTTGTAAAGGAGAGAGGAGAGAAAGACCCACTGCTCCCTTATAGTGGGTTTCGGGACCTCATTGTGAGAGGAGAGGGGAGAGAGACCCACTGCCCCGTAACAAGAATTTCATAAACTGCAATTGATTAGGTATTTGCTGGAATCATATCTGTTGGGTCTAAAGGTGCAAATATCACACCTAGCTGTAAACCACAAGACAATATGCCAACCACCCTTTTAAGGGTGAATGATGATGATGAAGAAGAAGAAGAAGAAAAGGAAGAGGAAGAAGGAGGAGGAGGAGAAGAAGAAGAAGAGGACAAGAAGGAGGAGGAGAGGAAAAAGAAGAAGAAGAAGAAGAAGAAGAAGAAGAAGAAGAAGAAGAAGAAGAAGAAGAAGAAGAAGAAGAAGAAGAAGAAGAAGAAGAAGAAGAAGAAGAAGAAGAAGAAGAAGAAGAAGAAGAAGAAGAAGAAGAAGAAGAAGAAGAAGAAGAAGAAGAAGAAGAAGAAGAAGAAGAAGAAGAAGAAGAAGAAGAAGAAGAAAAGGAAGAGGAGCAAGAAAAGAAGGAGGAGGAAGAGGAGGAGGAGGGAAGAAGAAGAAGAAGAAGAAGAAGAAGAAGAAGAAGAAGAAGAAGAAGAAGAAGAAGAAGAAGAAGAAGAAGAAGAAGAAGAAGAAAAAGAACAAGATGAAGAAGGAGGAGGAGTAGTAGGAGAAGACAAAGACAAAGAAAAATAACCACAAATTTACAGATCCACAGAACTAGTAAATATAATTCACATGTAGAACTAACAAACAGTGTGGATCAATAAAATATGGATTCATAGAACTTATCGAAAGAGTGGATCAATGAAATATAATGTTTGGGAAGGAAGTGTGGTGTGGGGAGCGGGTGGGGGTTTCAGTCCCTTACAGATCTTCTACAGGAGGGACCTATCTGAGTGCAAAATAATGATGTGCCAAATTAAGAGGGAGAAAAAAACTAGCACAGAACTAAAACAGCATAGATTTATTAAATATAGATTCACAGAACTCACAAACAGCAAAGATTAATAAAATATAAATTCCCAGAACTAACAAACAGCATAGATTATTGAAATACTGATTCACAGGACTAGAAAAACAGCATAGATTAGTGAAATATAAATTCACAGAACTAGAAAACAGCACAGATTCATGAAATATAGATTCATAGAACTAACAAACAGAACAGACTATTGAACTATAGATTCACAGAACTAGACAACAGAATAGATTAATGAAACACTGAATTACAGAAATAATAAACAGCATATATTAATGAAATATGTGATCACACATTTGCTCAAACTTGTGTTATATTGTGATATATGTACATGAATCCTCCAGGCCTACAAGATGACCTCCCTGAAAAATGTAAGTTCATCAAGATCCAGTTTCTGCCTCCCAACACCACTCCGTTACTCCAGCCCATGGACCAGCAAATTATTTCTAGCTTTAAGAAGCTCTACACTAAAGCACTCTTCGAGGGGGGAATGGGTTACCAAGAGAACCCTAACTTCTGCTTGGAAGAAGCTTTGGCCGAAGAGCGTTGTCGAATGTGACTTTGAAGGGTTGGAGTCAATACCTGTGGAGCCTGTAGTCAACGAGACTGTGTCTTTGGCCACTATCATGGGATAGGAGGTGGATAACAGTGATATCGAAGAGCTTGTGGAAGAGCACAGCCAAGAGCTGACCACCAAAGAGGTTATGGAGTTGCATTGTGTTTCGCAGAAAGAAGTTTTGGAGGAAAGTTTGTCAGAGGAGGAGGAGGTAACAGAAAAGCAACAATCTTCTGGCGAAATAAAAGAAATGCTGAAAGCATGGGAAACTGTTGCATCTTACATTGAGAAGCATCACCCTAATAAGGAAGTGGCTATGTGCGCTGCAAATTTATTTAATGATAATGCTGTGTCCGATTTTTGCCAAATTTTGAAGCGTCAGCAAAAACAAATGTCTCTAGACATCTTTCTAGTAAAAAATAATTAGCTATGTATCATAATTATTTAGACTTTTTTTTTTCTGCAAATCCAATTCGCATTCCATGTGGGTGTTTGTTCCGCGGTGGAAGAAAAGATGAAGATGATCCTCTCCTTAACAATATGTATATACTTTTCTTTGAATAAACGTTACAATTAACATTTTGAGAGTATTCTTTCAACATGGAACACATTATCGTATTTTACATTAATTTATATGAGAAAAATTGTTTCGCATAAGGAGTGTTTTTGCTTTACAAGTATGATTTTGGAACGAATTATGCTTGTTAACGAGGTTCCATTGTACAGATTCACAGAACTAGCAAATAATGTGGATCACTGAAAGATGGATTCACCGAGCTAGCAAACATTATGGCCTGGAGAGAATGAGACACCTGGGTGTGACCAGAGGTCTGGCCGGCTCACTACACTCAGAGGAAAGGCAAGACGGACATATAACCAGATTGTGACCAGTATTGGAACTCTGAGCTGGCTGCTCAAGATGAGGACGGAGCATGCATGGGAATGCCCCGCGTGCTGTGATGTCAATTCTTGACTCAACTGAACAGAACTAGCAAACAGGGTGAATCAAGTGATTCACTGAATATCATGGATCCACACCAAACAGCATGGATCAAGTGAAACATCATATATGGATCTGCAGAACTAGCAGACGCCAAGGATCAACCCACATCACATCCTATCCCACTGACAGCCTCATTCTTCCAAACCGTCTGCTTACCTTACAAGTCAGAGATCGTGTACACTGTTTGCCAGTCTCCGAAATTACAACTCCACAATGTTTATTGGCATCATACTCTCGATCTGCAATAAAAACTGTTTATGAAAGCATGAGCCTAATGTATTAATAATCTGGCATTCATAAATATGTGCTTTGAAAAAGGACAGTTGCAAATTATTCACAGGAGGTTGCAGAACCAACACCAACATTTTTGGGTGCTGTTTGTGGTTTTATTTAAAGCTCAGTAGTTTGCCACTGCCCTCTGAACAGTCCACTCTCTATACCTCTGTCAACAACAATACAGGGCAGCGTGCTGCTACAACATCCATGGCTGGTATCAAAACAAGAACCCAGGAATTAGGAGGCATGCTTACAACGCCTTATCCACAGATGCCAAAATCTGTTGACAAGACAGTGACTAGCCCTTTAGCCTGTTAGGCATGTGTTTGATTTCCTTGAAGGACTGGGATTTTTTTTTTTTTTTTACTGACATGGCTTCCATATAAACCCGGCATACATTTTTTTTTAAGTGTTCACCGGCTGTAAACTTCAGCAGAAAGTTCTGGTGGTTTATCCACTCATGGACTTTGACCTTGATCCAGAACTTGTTTTGCGCACAAATCAGTTTTACAGATCTGGCTTATCTGTATGCAAACTGTTGGTCCCTTGCCTCTCAGTTAGATGCACTCAGCCTTCAAAGGAAAGACCACTAATAACCCACCTTGTATTGGGTGCTTGTTTGCCCCCCCCCCCCCCCCCCCCCCCCCCCGACTGCTTTAAATAAACAGGTCTTTGAAAATCCACCCCCTCCCCCATTATTTATAAAACAACAATTTTACTCAGTTCACTAAAAATCTATGTCAAAATATATTTATTTACACTATTATGGCAACTTAGGGCAGGGGCATAGAGGGCAACCCAGAAAAGTGGCATGGAGGGCAACCTAGGATAGTGGCATGGAGGACAACCTAGGATAGTGGCATGGAGGACAACCTAGGATAGTGGCATGGAGGACAACCTAGGATAGTTGCATGGAGGGCAACCTAGGATTGGAGGACAACCTAGGATAGTGGCATGGAGGACAACCTAGGATAGTGGCATGGAGGGCAACCTAGGATAGTGGCATGGAGGACAACCTAGGATAGTGGCATGGAGGACAACCTAGGATTGGAGGGCAACCTAGGATAGTGGCATGGAGGGCAACTTAGGATAGTGGCATGAAGGGCAACCTAGGATAGTGGCATGGAGGGCAACCTAGGATAGTGGCATGGAGGACAGTCTAAAACAGTGGCATTTAGTGCAACCTAGGATAGTGGCATGGAGGGCAACTTAGGATAGTGGCATGGAGGGCAACCTAGGATAGTGGAATATATGACAACATAGGATAGTGGCATGGAGGACAGTCTGAAACAGTGGCATGGAGGGCAACCTAGGAGAGTGGCATGGAGGGCAACTTAGGAGAGTGGTATGGAGGGGGCAACTTACGATAGTGGCATGGAGGGCATCCTAGGATAGTGGCATTAAAGGTCAGTAAAATAGTGGCATAAGGGACAGTTGTCTGATAGGATGGCATGGAGGACAGTTGTCTGAGAGGATGGCATGGAGGACATTTGTCTGAGAGGATGGCATGGAGGACAGTTGTCTGAGAGGGCGGCATGGAGGACAGTTGTCTGATAGGATGGCATGGAGGACATTTGTCTGATAGGATGGCATGGAGGACAGTTGTCTGATAGGATGGCATGGAGGACATTTGTCTGATAGGATGGCATGGAGGACATTTGTCTGATAGGATGGCATGGAGGACATTTGTCTGATAGGATGGCATGGAGGACATTTGTCTGAGAGGATGGCATGGAGGACATTTGTCTGATATGGATGGCATGGAGCATGGACATTTGTCTGAGAGGATGGCATGGAGGACATTTGTCTGATAGGATGGCATGTCTGACATAGGATGGCATGGAGGACATGTCTGATAGGAGGACATGGAGGACATTTGTCTGATAGGATGGCATGGCATGGAGGACAGTTGTCTGATAGGATGGCATGGAGGACATTTGTCTGATAGGATGGCATGGAGGACAGTTGTCTGATAGGATGGCATGGAGGACATTTGTCTGAGAGGGCGGCATGGAGGACAGTTGTCTGAGAGGATGGCATGGAGGACATTTGTCTGATAGGATAGCATGGAGGACATTTGTCTGATAGGATGGCATGGAGGACAGTTGTCTGAGAGGATGGCATGGAGGACAGTTGTCTGAGAGGATGGCATGGAGGACATTTGTTGTCATGATACATTTGGATAGGGCATGGAGGACAGTTGTCTGAGAGGATGGCATGGAGGACATTTGTCTGAGAGGAGCGGCGTGGAGGACATTTGTCTGAGGATGGCATGGAGGACAGTTGTCTGATAGGACGGCATGGAGGACATTTGTCTGAGGATGGATGGAGGCATTTGTCTGATAGGGCAAGGACATTTGTCTGAGAGGATGGCATGGAGGACATTTGTCTGAGAGGGCGGCATGGAGGACAGTTGTCTGATAGGATGGCATGGCATGGAGGACATGGAGGTTGTCTGATAGGATGGCATGGAGGACATTTGTCTGAGAGGATGGCATGGAGGACATTTGTCTGATAGGATGGCATGGACATTTGGAGGCATGGAGGACATTTGTCTGATAGGATGGCATGGAGGACAGTTGTCTGATAGGATGGCATGGAGGACAGTTGTCTGATAGGATGGCATGGAGGACAGTTGTCTGAGGATGGCATGGAGGGTCTGATAGGATGGCATGGAGGACATTTGTCTGATAGGATGGCATGGAGGACATTTGTCTGATAGGATGGCATGGAGGACATTTGTCTGATAGGATGGCATGGAGGACATTTGTCTGATAGGATGGCATGGAGGACATTTGTCTGATAGGATGGCATGGAGGACATTTGTCTGATAGGATGGCATGGAGGACAGTTGTCTGATAGGATGGCATGGAGGACAGTTGTCTGATAGGATGGCATGGAGGACAGTTGTCTGATAGGATGGCATGGAGGACAGTTGTCTGATAGGATGGCATGGAGGACAGTTGTCTGATAGGATGCATGGAGGACAGTTGGCTGATAGGATGGCATGGAGGACAGTTGTCTGAGAGGATGGCAGGAGGCATTTGTCTGGATGGCATGGAGACAGTTGTCTGAGCATGGAGGACATTCTGAGGCATGGAGGACATTTGTCTGAGAGGATGGCATGGAGGACATTCTGAGAGGAGTGGCATGGGGACATTTTGTCTGAGAGGGGGCATGGAGGACAGTTGTCTGATAGGATGGCATAGGAGGACAGTTGGCTGAGAGGATAGCATGGAGGACAGTTGTCTGATAGGATGGCATGGAGGACAGTTGTCTGAGGGCGGCATGGAGGACAGGGAGGGAGGCATGGAGGACATTTTGTCTGAGGAGGGCGGCATGGAGGACAGTTGTCTGAGAGGATGGCATGGAGGACATTCTGAGAGGATGGCATGGAGGACATTTGTCTGAGAGGGCGGCATGGAGGACAGTTGTCTGAGAGGATGGCATGGAGGACATTGTCTGAGAGGACATGGAGGTTGTCTGAGAGGATGGCATGGAGGACAGTTTGTCTGAGAGGATGGCTGGAGAGACATTTGTCTGCGGACATTTGTCTGATAGGATGGCATGGAGGACAGTTGTCTGATAGGATGGCATGGAGGACAGTTGTCTGAGAGGATGGCATGGAGGACAGTTGTCTGATAGGATGGCATGGAGGACATTTGTCTGAGAGGATGGCATGGAGGACAGTTGGCATGGAGGACATTTGTCTGAGAGGATGGCATGGAGGACAGTTGTCTGATAGGATGGCATGGAGGACAGTTGTCTGTAGGATGGATAGGAGGACAGTTTTGTCTGATGGATGGGCATGGAGGACATTTGTCTGAGAGGGCGGCTGAGGACAGTTGGATGGCATGGAGGACAGTTGTCTGAGAGGATGGCATGGAGGACAGTTGTCTGAGAGGATGGCATGGAGGACAGTTGTCTGAGAGGGCGGCATGGAGGACAGTTGTCTGAGAGGATGGCATGAAGGACAGTTGTCTGAGAGGGCAGCATGGAGGACAGTTGTCTGAGAGGGCGGCATGGAGGACAGTTGTCTGAGAGGGCGGCATGGAGGACAGTTGTCTGAGAGGGCGGCATGGAGGACAGTTGTCTGAGAGGATGGCATGGAAGACATTCTGAGACAGTGGCATGGAGGACAGTTGTCTGAGAGGATGGCATGGAGGACATTCTGAGAGGATGGCATGGAGGACATTTGTCTGAGAGGATGGCATGGAGGACAGTTGTCTGAGAGGATGGCATGGAAGACAGTTGTCTGAGAGGATGGCATGGAGGACAGTTGTCTGAGAGGATGGCATGGAGGACAGTTGTCTGAGAGAGGATGGAGGAGGACAGTTGTCTGAGAGGATGGCATAGAGGACAGTTGTCTGAGAGGATAGCATGGAGGACAGTTGTCTGAGAGGATGGCATGGAGGACAGTTGTCTGAGAGGATGGCATGGAGGACAGTTGTCTGAGAGGATGGCATGGAGGACAGTTGTCTGAGAGGATGGCATGGAGGACAGTTGTCTGAGAGGATGGCATGGAGGACATTTGTCTGAGAGGATGGCATGGAGATAATTAATTATAAGTAATTATAAAAATGACTGCAATATTAAATGGACTGGGATGAGTTAATAACTGACATTACAGCACTTAGGTCATTCTCATTTGTGCTCTCATTTTCAGAAGCCAACAAAGAGTACCAATTCTGATGGTACTAAAGCAGTCTGAGTGTTTGGCCATCTTGCCATTCCTGAGTTTACAGCAACGGTGGCAACTTTGTTGTTGTTGTCCCCAGGCCAAATTTAGAATTACCAACCTGGTCGGGGGCCACAGAGAAAAAAATCCATTTTAAACATAACACCCAGATTTCCTTGTATTTTTTATGAAAGAATCTAGGATTATAATCCCATGCTAAGCCTCTGATCAGACAAACTCACCCACTGTAGCCCTTTTATTAATTCCCAAATGCATCTGTTCAAGCTGGTGGATCTAGAAACTTGCCAACCAGAGAAAACGAACGGTCTTAAATTATATTACCAAAGTTCGTCGAGAGACACTGTCCAATGGATCTGCCCACAACACGGGTTTCCCTAGCAGTATCAAAGAGTCTGTGACAGTAGTTTTCTCATTAACACTTTTTTGGATGTGAACATTTTGATTTTTTTTCTGTGAAATCAAGGGCCAGATTATATAGTAATTTTACACCTGCCTATCTAAGCTAGTAAAATATGGGGTTAGCAGGCCAGTTTGGCCTGCAAGCCATAGTTTGCCCACCCCAGGTTTAGATTGTCAGCCAGATCACCTGGTCACTTCCTGCTACACCCTTCTCTCTAGACAGTAATGATCTCTATGTGCTTCTCCATCATTCACTTGCTCCTATAGGGCACTGACCAAATCTGGCTCATCTTAAATCAATTTACCACCCATAAGCACCAGCCAATCTGCCTATTCATTTTCCAACAAACCTGCACTTAACGAAGAAAAAATCCAAAAGATGCTAATTAAAAAGGACCTCTAAAGTGATGTCTGACACTCTGCAGGGAGCATGCCTTTCTCCACTTTTCTCAGCATGCTTTGTGAATCTGTTATAGCAACAACATGTGTACAGCTGGTTTCAAGCCAACAGAAATCTGTGACTGCCTCCACCTCCATTCTGAAACTAGATGTTGAGGTATCTCACAAGCTAGACTTTGTTGCACTAAACAATTTCCATTCACTTTCTGCAAGACGTCATGCTTTCTTAATCAAAATCTCGAGGTATACACAAAACAATGACTTGGTCGTTTTTCAAAAGTGACCCAGTCTGGATAAAACAGCAAAACAGTATCAGCTAGACATTAGGACTGCAGAAGAGACACAATAAACTGAAAGACAGAAGACTGTTTGAATCATCACATTACCTTTACATGGCAAAAATTTCCGTTCTTTTTGCTCCCTTGGTGATTTTGAACTTTTAGTGGCCGAAACCGGCCGAACTGCCATAGCACCGGCACAGCTCACAGCTGTAACCGGGGCAATCATTACAGGCTTAGTCAATGAAACTGTATTCACAAAAGTGGTTATACATTTTGTACTTAGAGTGGTGCTTGTCAGCGGTTTTGTCACAGCTATCAACATTGGTGTTGAAACTAATGAAGGAGAATTTGTTGTTGTTGTTGCTGATGGTGTTGTCAAAGATACCACTGATTTTATGGATCCATTAACCAATGTTGATATCCTAGAGGAGTCCGGATTAAGAACACTTTTTGAAATCTCAGATGGAGCTGACGAACCTTCAGTTTTTGTTTCAGGTTTTGATGATAATGATGATAACGTTGATACTGAGGATGTTTTTTCCAGTTTATCAACTTTCACCACAGAGCTCGAGGCTGTGCTGGCAGCCGCTGTTGTTGCTGTTGTGGACTTTGATGTTGGGGTTGTCGTCGTTGTTGCTGCTGTTGTTGTCGGTGGGGTAATTCTGTTTCCGGATTTCACAGATTTTAAGGGACTAATCTTCATGCAGACCCCAAGGACTGGAGCTGCCACGTTCTTCACCGACGCTGGCACCTGCTTCAGACTGGCCTTTGTGGGCAGCCAGCCTGAGGAGACAGGTTTGAAAGTTCCACTCATCTGCCTGTCACTGGGAGTCGTAACTTTGGAAGAGGCCAAGCACTGTTTCTGTAAAGGCATCAGCAGCTTCTTCCCAAGCTCTGTGTTGAGTGCCGAAGCTGGGATATTCCCTAAACTGCTGAGATTTGTTGGGCCATGGCGAGATTCTACAATGGTAAGATGAAATCAAACAAAAAGTGAGCTGACCAATTATGAATAAATCTAAAACCATTGCCATGGTGTGACAATATATCTGTACAGATAATACTAATCTTCTTCTTCATTGCATTCACCGGCGCTAAACTCGGGCAAAAGGTTCTGGTTGTTCATCCACTTCTGGACTTTAAGTCTTGTTCCAGAACTTGAGTTCTGCAAGCATACCCATTTTACAGATCAAGCTTAGCTCTATGCAGACTGTTGGTTCCTTACCTCTTAGGCAGATGCACAAAGATTCCTGTAAATAAATCTAATAAGGGCTAAACCATCAAACTTGTGGATCCCCTGCTTCAACTGCCAAGGAATTTTTTTTACAATTTCTCAGGATGCGTTTTTCAAATAAATTTTTTGCCTTGTCTGAAATGGCTTGAGGTCCTATCTATTACACCACGTTCTGAGAGGAAACATAAAATATCACTTTCTAGCATTAACTAACCCTGGAGAGGAGCAGCCAACAATGAACATCACAGTAAACAGAGAGAAATTCAAACAAGTTGCAAGTTTCTCCTGCCTTTGACAAGATAAAGGTAAATGCAAAGTCGGGAGATGTGAACCAGCGTCATTGCACACGGTTAAAAACCATAAGTGCTCTGCCACCATTATGGACAGCTGATAAGAAACTGTTCCCCTGTTTCGCCATCTGCACAAAACTCCTTAGCTACAGCGACGTTCCTCTATTTACCCCAGAATGTTAACTATGGTACCCATTTCCTAGAGGCTGGGTGGACCTCGGGAACCGCCCGGTTTCGATCATCGGCCGTAGGCTGCAGCAAGTCGCAGCAGGATTTGAAAGTGAGTCTCCTATCGACTGCCTAACGCAATCCCTTTGACAAGAAGTAACAGATAATGGTAAAAGTGCAACAAATGTCCAGAAGATAACAGATATGGCTAAACAAATGTGTTCAGCAGCATGCGCAAATTAATGGCAGTTAGAGAGATAAACAATACATTAATTGTCAACTGTTATGGATACTTAACCTTGCTGTTTGATGCAGAAACTTGGACAATAAAAACGCAATCAGAAAACTGTATTCAGTCTCTGGATTTGCCCACATCTGTTTTCCCTAGCAGCATCAAAGATTGTGTGATATCAGTCTTATGTAAAGTGAAATAAAAGTAAAGATCCCTTTACACGCCCTTAGGCGCATCGGGCATATGGGAAGAGCACCCATATTTTTACAGACCAATCAGCACTTGGTCGGTAATGTGGACAGCATTACGCCGGCCGTCTTTACTTTCCCAGGACAGCCCATCCCAGTACCTATTTGAGGCTGGGTCGACCTGCGGCGTCCCATACCAAGATAAAACTCTGCGCAGTTAGCGGTGGGTTTCGATCGCTGTAAGTTGGATTACAAGTCAGACTCGCAACGCCTTAGCCACGGACGCCGCATCAGTCTTATGATTATCACTGTTTTAGTTATCACATTTTTTTAAGGTTGATATTTGAATTTTTCAGGTAGACTGAAAGTAATAATGAAGTCACGATGATGATGATGAAAAAAAGAATTTTAAACCAGCGACTCGAATGCCCCTTCTAACCAACATATCCCTCTAAACTATTTCAGGCGGACAAAGTGACAAAAATGTCAGTATGATGATGATGATGATGATGATAATGATGACAAAAGAACTTCAAACCAGGAGCTCGAATGCCCCTTCTAACCAACATATTCCTCAACTATTTTAGGCAGACTGAAAGTGATAATAAAGTCATTATCATGATGATGATGATGACAAAAGAACTTAAAACCAGCTGCTGGAAAGCCCCTTCCAACCAACAATTCCCTCTTACCTATATGTCGTTTCAGTGCTTGAGGTTTGACTAGCAGGTTGCACTTCTCGCACACTACAAGGCTGAACTCATCTCGGGATGGGCAAAACCCAAACAGTCCCATATCTGATCAAATAACAAGAAACCAAAAAAAGACAATTCTAAGATCAAATTTGATTCACACACACAAACACACACACACAAAATGATCGACATACCTTACAACAGTCGTTTTAAAACTGGGCTACCTATGTGCCAGTCCTGACCTAAGGGTGTGAGTTATGGGCAATGACAACTCACAGAAGCCAGCTTCAGGCCTCAGCAATGAGATATATGAAAACGGTGGTCCAAATGACCAGAAGGGACAAAGTTCGCAATCAGACTATGCATCAAGATCTTGAAACCCAGGTTTTAGAAACTGGAGTAGATCAGTCACAGTTATGATGGTTTGGACATACATGTAGAATGGGAGAAATATATAACACACAATATCAACAGCATTGCGGAACACCCCCCGTAACCTTGTGCCAAGGTGACAGATTCAGGAACTACCAACCAGAAGTGAGCTAGTGTGTATATGGGCGGGGCCTGGTCAGACTAACATGACATGTACTGAGATTTGTTTGGTCCTCTTTTTTTTTTTAATGAAGTATTTTTCAAGCTGGGGGTGGGGGTCTTTACCATATATGGGGGGTGGGGGGGGGGGGGGAGGGGGCCTGAAAAAGGTTGAGCACCACTAACTTAAAAGGACCTAAGGCCGCAGACCACATAAGAATTTATCTTACCTATGAATAGATTTTTTTTTTAAATTAATTGTAAAAAGTAAACAATGATTACGAAATGTAATTAGTAGGTTAAAATATGTAAAATTTGTTCTATGTTCAGCTGCAGCAACCACAGTCAAGAAACTGATGTACAAGGCAACATGAAACTAAATGGGGAACATAAATTTAACTTATTAGAAAAGTATAAATAACACACTATATATGAACCTCGATACATAATAAATAAAAAAATATATTGATCAACACTCATAGCACACACTAGAGAACATAAAAATCTAAAGCTATAGTGCATATACTTTCTTCATAAAAACAAAAACACCTGGCTCCCAGGTCAAACCATCCCTAAATGGGTAACAGATGAAGTCATGGGAGGTAAAGGCAGCCAGCATGACGTTTACCACATCACCCGCCAAATGCCAATTGTTCTATGGGTCGTGGGTTTGCTCCCTGGTGAAACCGTACTTTTTTTCAAAACTGACCTTGGCTCCCAGCCTTGAGTGGGTTCCAGGTGCAGTCCTGGGAAGTAAAGGTGACCGGCATGATGCTGACCACATCACCCATCTTGTGCCTGATTGGTCTATAAAAATATAGGTCTAGCCCTATATGCCCAATACGTCTGAAGGCCTGGAAAAGGGCCCTTTATGGTATCCTTGCTGGAATCGAACCTGTCCCCTCTAACTGATGACAGCACAGCGCTGGGGAAAACTTCTTTTTCTTGTAATTGGGTTGTGTCCGTTTATTAGCATGGCTGTGATATTTGCACCTTTCGGCCAACACATCCTACTTTTGCAGGCCTTTGTTGACTAGGTTAGGCTTTCGAGTTAATTTCATGGGACACTGCAATCCTATTAGTGCTGGAGAAACAGGTGCACTAAGACTTTTGCTTTATGTTGTTTAGTGTGTCCTTCTATCTTTCTACTTCTTTCTTTGAGTGCTGATCAATGCACATTTTTGTTTGTTTATAATATTTCTACAGCCTCCAGGGTTCCCCGTCTGTTTATTTCTGTACATGAATAATCTATATAACTGGATTCTTTTTTCTTTTTTTTTAAAGAAAACAGTGAAGAATAAATGCAAAGCTTTTGTGAATATTAATAATAATAATAATAATAATAATAATATGCGATAGTTCCTGACAGAATAAAATAAAGCACACATACACACACACACACACATAATTGCTATGTGAGGGCTGATTTTTTTCCAAATTTTGCGGTCCTCGGACAAACCACAGCTTCAAGAAACTAGTGATCAAGTTTGGAGAAAGTAATGGGAGTTATCATAATGGTACTTAATACCATATTTCCTCAAATATAAGATGCACATATTCACCAATAACATAGGGCACCCAAAAAAAAAACAGGGTGCGTCTTAACAGTAGTAGATTTTTTTTAAAATGATTTGTTAGAAAATATCCTGTACAGGGCCTCATTTAGGAATGCCGGTTCTGGGGCAACATACAAAAATTGCCATGAGAGACAAATAGAATGAATGGATGGAGCCACTTGGGGCACATTGTGGGGAAAACGAGAAGAGACTCACTCCCCCCCCCCCCCCCACCCCAACAAGCATAACGTAGGAGTCGACTAATTAGGGGCTTCATTAGGAGTCAAGAAACAATAAGTATGCATACAAGCAGGCAGATTTGTAAAACAGATGTACACGCAACACTCAGGTTCTGGAGTATGACTAAAGTCCGGACGTGGACGAACACTCAGAGCTTTACGCTGGAGTTTACAGCTGGCGAACATGAAGAAGAAAGAAGAATTTGACACCAGTAGGTAGTGTTAAGAAACCAACTATATAGAGACGTTTGTTTGTACCTTGGTGAATAGATACTGAGATAATGTGAAGATTGAGATCGCTGTCAAGTCATTCAAAAAGTCTGGCATTTGAAATGACACAGATGGAACTAAGGAAGTGGCAATAAATGAAGACACTGATTTGTCACCAGTCACAGATGAGAACAGGCTATAAGAGTTATCATGTGGATGAGAGTTTTGACAGTGATGAGGAGTTTTCTGTCCACATTTGACTTGACGAATCTCAGCATGTGTGTGGCTGTCCTGTCCACATTTGACTTTACCCATCTCAGGATGTGTGTGGCTGTTCTAACATATTTGACTAGACCAATCTCAGGATGTGTGTGGATGTTCTGTCCACATTTGCTTGGACCAATCTCATGATGTGTGTGGCTGTTCTGTCCACATTTGACTGGACCAATCTTATAATGTGTGTGGTTGTTCTGTCCACATTTGAGTGGATTAATCTTAGGTTGTGTGTGGCTGTTTTGACCACACTTTACTTGAATAATCTAAGGATGTGTGTTGCTGTTCTGTCCACAATTGACTGGACCAATCTCAGGATGTATGTGACTGTCTTGTCCACATTTGACTGGACCAATCTCATGATGTGTATGATTGATATGTCCACATTTGACTGGACCAATTTCAGGAGGTGTGTGGCTGTTCTGTTCCCATTTAATTAGACTAGTTTCAGGATCAATCAAACAGGTGCCATCTCCACAGTGAAGGTTGGCTGCAATAGATCTCCAACATGCTTTAGCTCTTGTCCTGTTTGTACACTCCCTCAGACTGCTGCCCATACCATCTCCTGATGTTGTCCTTCCACTTGTATCACTGCCCACCTTGCTCTCTAGCCTTTGACTTCTCCCTCCAATATAGTTAGTTTTAGGATATGTTTGGCAGATTAGTTGTGTGGGGCCAAATCTCAAGATTTAGTTGACTTTTCCACCTGTCTACCTGGGAAGTAAAGGTGTCCGGCATGATGTTGACCACATCACCCACAGAGTGTGGACTCATCTATAACAGTGGCTCTCAACCTTTCCAATGCCACACCCTTTAATACAGTTCCTCATGAGATGGCGACCCCCAAACATACAATTATTGTCGTTGCTACTTCATAACTTTAGTTATTATGCATTTTCCTATGGTCTTAGGCGACCACTGTTGAAGAGTCGTACGACCCAAAAAAAAAAAAGGTTGCAACCCATAGGTTGAGAACCAATGGTCTATAAGATACAAGTCTAGCCCTATATACCAATTACTATGAAGGCATGAAAAAAGGTCCCTTTCTTATGACAGGAACCAGTCTTTGGAGAAATGGTTATTTTATCCTTGTAATAGGACCAACTTCACATGTTTGGCTGTTGCGTCCACATTTAACAGGGCCAGTGCCACAATGTGTTACTTTTTGCTGAGTTCTGAAACAGAAGAGAATCTACCTATTTTTATTTTTCAGTTAGATTTCCTGTAATTTAATACAGACTGAAAAATGCTCTAACTGAAAATACAAATAGCAGTTATTTAAACATAAAAAATACAATCTGAAAAAAAAATTATCTTTATTGTTTTGTATTACAACTTCATAAGTCTGGCTGTGTTGCTGATAGTACTATCCACCCTCCCCTCCTCCCTCTCTCTTATTCTCTATCTATACTTTAATTTTCCAGTCTTTGATTTGCAGTTTACTCAGAAATGATATATCTGAGAAAGGTTGTCCAAATGACAAGAAGGAACAAAGTTTGCAACCAGACAATACGTCAAGATCTTGAAACCCAGGCCTTACAAACTCAGTGGATCAGTCACAGTTACGATGGTCTGGACATGTATGCAGAATGGGAGAAAATCTGCCACCATGACAGGCTAAGAACCAGGGAACCAGACAACCACGGCTACCCAGAGTTCGCTGGGAAGACAACAGCCGACAGCCCCTAACTGACAGAGGACTGGAATGGAACAAAACCAGAAAGAAAACTGCTGATAGAAATGTATGACGATCTCTCTGGCAAACCTCTACACCCCAAGGTGAAGAGAAGAGGAGTGACTAAGTAAGAAAGATATTCAGCTCATCTGATTTTACAAACATAATTTAAATCAGGGGTCAGTAGATCATGGCACGGCAAACTAAACAAGTCTAGGTGGTTCTGATATATTAGTGCACAATAAATGAATTAAATAATAATTTCTTGTGTCCCACCAGTTGTTATTTTAACTGGCAAACACACACAAAAACAGGATAAGTTGTTACTCCAACTGTTTCAGCCTGCTCCAATTAATAATTTTGAACTCCTCATGATTCTTACAGCCTATGGTTTTAGACATCGACTATTTTAAAAAGAAATTATTTAAGGATTTAAATTCAAGGATAAAAACATAAGGAAATGGTAGTGACTTTAAGCCTGCACTTACATCAATCAATTAGCATCCTTAGCAACTAGAACACAGATGCCATATCAAGGGTGCAGAGTTTGAAACAAATATACATAATTAAAAGTGTTTTACAGACTGGCAACATTATTATCGAACTACAAAAGTTTTGTCAAAACTAGTGCCGAATTACTGCATTAATTATCATTTCACAACAACGTACCTTGTCGGCCAAGCTTCATAGTGTAACTATCGTTTGAATTGTTCTTCTCAACCTTGTCCACGCAGACGGCACCTGCAAATAAATGCACAGAATAATGCAGTACTTCTGCGCTCGTGTAAAAGTGATGCAATTACCGCTATTCTAAAAGCAACATACGAACTTTAATGGCTTTTGTTGTTCTTTATTTTCACTTCATTCAGAACGCGGGGTATATGTGAGATCACTGTTGTTAGTGGGTTTGCCGTGTAAACATTGGACATTTTCAAAGACCTGCGTGCATATATATGGCTTATGGAGGTTGGTCAGGTTTAAAATATACGTTAATTATTATTTCATCTCACCGTTTTCTGCACCGGGCGACGCCAACTCGGCCAGTGCTGACCACTGTTGACCAATAATTAGCGACGGACTTCTGTCCTGAGTCGCCATTTTTATTTTCTTGTTGCTTTCTGTCGACGCGGAACTTGCCGAAGATGACGTCACGTTCGGTGAGTGCCCGATCTCTTGCTGCCAGTCGTTCAAACCATTCGATGTTTAATTATCTATTGTTTCGGGTTGAGGGGGCTATAACCTTGCCACAGACCTAGAATGCTGATGAGAAGACCAAACAGAGACCGCACTCTATATAAATTGTTTTCTCGTGAGATTTTGCTAGCGAGCATTTCAATTTCAGCAGCTGAATGACGATTTGCCCAGTGATGTTTTGAGTCTTTCCTTTACATTCAACATAAGTAGTAGTAGTAAAAAGGTAAAAAGGTAAAGTCGGGAGATGTGAACATGCGTCATTGCACACGGTTATAAACCATAAGTACTCTGCCACCAGTACGGACAGCTGATAAGAATTGTCCGCCTGTGTCGCCGTTCGCACGTAACTCTGTAGCTACAGCGACGTTCCTCCATTTACCCCAGAGTGTCAACACTGGTACCCATTTCCTAGAAGCTGGGTGAACCCCGGGAACACCGACCGTGGGCTGCAGCGATTCGCAGCTGGATTTGAAAGCGAGCCTCTTATCGACTGCGCTAACGCAGCCCCTACATTTTACCCTACTAGGACATCACACAAGCGATAAACACCTGATGACACAAAGTGCCACCATGTTATGAGGATCACACGTGGAGAGGACCCAGAAACCGCGTTTAGCCATTAGACCATATTTAAGGCCCAGCTATATATTTGGATCCTGGCAAGAGCCAGTGTGTGGCTTCAAAATAACGAAAAATTGCATCCCACAAGGGGAATGACTGGTTTCTGACATTCAGCATTATAGGGACTCACATCGATAAACTGTCCGAGATATTCAGGAGTGCGAGGAACAGAAAGGATAGATTTACTTACTACATACGCGATAGCTACAGGAACGCTCGTACTTACAAAAAAGACATTCTTAATACCATTTATGAATGAATCCCCATAGAATATACGAGATTAGATGAAATAACATGTGTATGAATAAATCAAGAATTGACATCACTGCACTGGTGAATTCCCACATGTGCTCCGTCTCCTTCTTCAGTAACCAACGAAGAGTTGACATGCTAACAGTACCCAGCTGCAACCTGATTGAAAGTCCACCTCTTTTCCTTTCAATGTTTAATATCTTTCAGAGCCTCTGCACATAAGATTCTTTGGCACCTTTCCGTCTTTCCAGACGATAGTGTTATATTGCGCTATAAGGAGGCATGGGAACTCATAGTCCATGGCGATGGCGAGTATGACTATCAAAATCTGCCTGCGTTAAGAACAGTTTTTTACAATTACAACATGGGATTTTAGGAGGACCGTTGTTGTCAACATCTGTGTTTAGTCTGTTTCTTCTCAGACGTTGAGCTCTCATCCTTTCTGCAATAAGTTCTACCTTCATTCTTATTCCCTTCTTGATGTGCCCCCCCCCCCCACCCCACTCCTCCCAACACACGGTTCATAGCATTTTGTTCCCACGGGTCCACCTCAGTACTTGTATCATTCATGTCCTGCTTGCATTTTCCTGGTCAGTGGATTCTGATTTTTTTTGTAGCTCCAAACATCCATTGATTAATAAAGGTTGTAGCGGATCATCACCTTATTCGCTGGGGGGGGGGGGGGGGCTGCCCAGATTGTGGCAGTCGGTAGTTGATTAGTGACATTCGAAGATGTCTCCCATCGTCAGAGGCAACCTGTGGCGCCCTCTTCTACGCCAATTAACAAAACCTATAACCTGTAACTACTGCCTCTCGATTTGTTTCCGAGACAAATACGGTCAGGGATGAAGTTCATCCTTTCCAAGGCACAGTATTGTAGAGACTATATGTTGCCCATGTATCATGGTCTCTCTCCCCCTCCACCTCTCTCTCTCTCTCTCTCTCTCTCTCTCTCTCTCTCTCTCTCTCTCTCTCTCTCTCTCTCTCTTTCTCTCTCTCTCAACCTGCTTTGTAAACTTCAAAGGAAAGGTAGCAACAGTAGGTTTGGAACAAAGCAGGCTGCAGAAGCAGCCGGATCAGAAGAGCAGTGCTGTATCTGTCCGCATGTCGGAGCTTCTCTCACAGACCAGCTGCCAGCCAAGGCTTAGACTGCCCTGCCATAACATAACGTTTTCAGGCTGCATTTTATCTTCCTATGATAGGCTAGTATCCTCCCCATGCGCTCCTCCGCCCAAAACCATCGGCACAATATGGGATGTCAGATTTAGTATACGCCGCCCAACATTCGGCGATAGCAGAAGACAGGTGGTGCCAGCTACTGTTATATGGCTAGTTAGTTGCGTATCCTTTACAGGACGTCGCAGAACCAGCCACAGCATTTGTTTTTGGCTGTTGTGGTTTTTCCAGGCCCATTTTACGTTTAGTAGTTTGCCATTGCTTTCTGGGCGGTCAGCTCTCGGTAACACTCTCGAAACCAACGCAGGACAAACCATCCGCAGCTAGGATCGAACCTGGCACCCCAGCATTACGAAGCTCTTTCGCAACGCCTAAGCCATAGACGCCGACTTTATACGGTAGCTCAGTCACATTTGACCCTGGTCCCCAGAAACTCTAGACACACCCCCCCCCCTCCCGGGCCCCAGCCTCCTCCCACACACCCACACCCCAGTCGTTGTGTGTATGGATTCCCAATCCGTTCGTTTGCACTGTTATCTGATCTCACAGAGCAGCAGTTCTCAACCTGCCGGTTGCGACCCCTTTTTTTTTCGGTCGAACGACCCTTTCACAGGGGTCGCCTAAGACCATCAGAAAACACATATTCATTGAAGTTATGGAGGAAAGAAATTGTCTGGAAGTAGCCACAACATGATTTAACTGTATTAAAGGGTCGCGGCATTACGAAGGTTGAGAGCCACTGTCATAGAGCCTTCATCCCATCCACATTTTAGGTGAGTCTCGGCCGTCACAACGGCATTCGGGGGGGGGGGGTGTAAATTGTCCGGCTATGTAAAAATATACAGGATTAAACTCGAGAATAAAACATACACTTATAGTTATATCTCTATATCTGTAGACCTTGTTATATTTCAGTTTTCGATATTCTAAATATGTAAAATGTAGGGTGGCCATACTGCCTGTTTTCATCAGGATAGTTTCGATCACGGCCTTCTCTATTTATAGGCTAAACAGGTCAACGAGGATTTCCGTTCTTGTGCAAGAATGGAGTCCCTCTGCGTCGACAGAGACAACGTTGGTCTCCATCAAGGCCGTCTCTAACTGATGTGCCGTGGGGCTTGTCACATATCACTCCTGTCGCGTGCCTAATGTAAGGATTTCTCCTTCAGAACCAACAGCACTCAGAGATAATTATGTTGAGTCGTTTGGCTCGTATTGGTCTAAGGGATTCCCCGTGGCCAATATACGCTCAACTTATCTCTGGAGTAGGGCAACTCAAGTATTGGCACTACAAAATATATCAGTATATATATATACCATATTTCTAGGCACACTTGGCTGGACACCCCCACTACTTACTAAAGAAAGCCCCCAGGTTATGATAGTTCATTATCATAACCATGTTAACACATATAATGAAGATACACATACATACACAACTGCTAAACACTTAAAAAGGTGAAATAGAGACACCTAAGTCAGCCATGAAAATGAATGTATGTAATCAATATAATTAGATATATAAAAGTGAGACAAATGCCAGATCTCAGGATATCATGTCCAAATCATAAAGATACTACACAGACAGAAGTCTTGGAGATGACATCTTCTCATCACTGGACACAAGGAGCTGTGAGGAACACAACATCATGCGAAGCATCAGACTTATCTTCTCTTCTTTCTGTCTATGATGCCTCCCTCAGCTCCGGATGATTCGACTGTCTTTGACTCTGGGAATTCTGCTCCACTGGATCAAGTAGTAAGAGTACTTCACTATATATGACGCAGCAACTGTACCGGTATTTAGCAAGTCTCTATCACCAGTAAGGACACACAATGTCTTTGAGCCACATTAAGCTCTAGCACTGGTAGCTGTTTGAGGCACCATCTCCCATATGTTGGAGATGTCAGGAACCTTCACAGGTGTTAGCTGGTGGGTAACAAGTTGTTTCTGGTGGTTTGATGGTTGGTGGATGTTGGTGGGACTGTGAATCTTCTGCCAGCTCTTCAGAAAATATACATCCCAAGCATATGTAAAAACTGAGACATTCCAAATTGCCTTGAAAAGTGAAATTTATACAGGCACAGATTAACACATCTGGACGTTTGAGAAGCTGGCAAGGAGAAGAGCGTCACTTAGACACTTCAGGCGTTGGTACAAAAGAAGTCCCTTGTATACTGGGGCAAGGAGTAAATCGGTTTCCAAGAAACCTCAAATAACTCCCTAAATATATCTCCAGGAGATATACATTTAAAAGTGGAGTTTAGTTAAAGTAACCAGAAAAGGCAGACATAATAATGTTGTCCAATACAGGCCTATATATATATAGATATAAGGGACTATATATTTCTGGGCGAGTCCAAGTTTGAATTTTGTGCAGATTACAGGTAAGACAGGTTATCAGCCTTACAGACCGATGTGTAATGGCTATCATTTCACGACAAGGCTGATGACGTCACCACCCTGGGCCAACGATACGCTCCCTTTTCACTCTGACAGTCCCATTTTTTCAGTGTGTTTCCGGTCGTCCCCTGAGTACTCCACCCTCCCCCCCCCCCCCATAATTATAGAAATTTGCTCGAGATTAGAACAATAGAACACGTATAGAAGTTTATACACACATACAAACTAAAAGAGAACACTAGAGAAAAAAATGGTAATAATAATTAATTAGTGTGTCTTGTACAGTTGATAGGCTTATATAATCTCGCTTCTTAAAATGTACTAGTAAAACTTTTCCTGTTCTAAAAAAAAAAAGCAATTAGGTCGAGAACAGAACAGAACTTGGTCCTATTCACGCTTTCTGGCCTATCTACACACTTTCTCAGTCTGATCTAGGTCAGAAAGATGTCAC